GCTCTGTTGCCCAGGCTGGAATGCAGTGGCATGATCTCAGCTCACTGCAACCTCCACCGCCCTGGTTCAAATGATTCTCCTGCCTCAGCCTCCCAGATAGCTGGGATTACAGGCGCCCAACACCACACCTGGCTAACTTTTGTATTTTTAGTAGAGATGGAGTATCACCATGTTGGCCAGGCTGGTATCAAACTCCTGATCTCAAGTGATCCACCCACTTTGGCCTCCCAAATTGCTGGGATTACAGGCATGGGTCACTGCGCCCGGCCTACAACATTTTTTTCCTTTTTGATGAAACAGAGTCTCACTCTGTTGCCCAGGCTGGAGTGCAGCGGCAAGATCACGGCTCACTGCAGCCTTCACCTCCCAAGCTCAAGCAATCTTCCTGCCTCAGCCTCTCAGGTAGCTGGGACCACAGGCCTGCGCCACCATTCACAGTTTGCCCTTTTTTTTTGGTAGAAACAGCATTTTGCGATGTTGTCTAGGCTGGTCTCAAACTCCTGGGCTCAAGCGATCTTCCTGTCTCACTCTCCCAAAGTGCTGGGATTACCGGTGTGAGTCACTGTACCCAGCCATTTCCACAACTTTTTAAGAATGCAAAATAAATTCTCAGCTTGTAAACCATATAAAAGCAAGTAATCTGCTAAGCCCTGCTATAAACTAAGGATCAATAGCGTGGCTGCAAAAAGCTAAGCAGAAGATAAGATGTATGGGATTCCAGCAAAAGATATGTTAGGTCCTTTAGCATTTTTCATCAGACAGAGGGACAGGCAGAGAGAGAGAGCTCAGATTAGAAGGGCTTTGCAGTTATTGCCTCAAGGCTGCCGTAAAGCTGAGAGGCATGGGGCCAGGATTTCTGTGGCTCAAATTATTAGGCCCATCACATAAAAGCCATAGGCAGAATTACCTACATAAGCCACTACTGGATTCCTGTCAAATTCTCTGTGATAATAAATGTTCTGTACTTTGGGGAAAAAAAAAAAAAGTAAAGACAAGATCTTGCATGGCCAAAGGAATCCCATCCGTGACTGAGAAGGGCCTCTAACTGTGCAACCCTGAAAATCACCTCTGAGACACTAGGCCTCACACCCGGAGGAAGAAAGAAAGGACCTCCTCCACACTGCCCGTCTTAAATCTGACCACAGGGGACAGTGGATGAGAGAGATGGTTCCACTGAGCAGAACCAAGAGCAACGGATTGAGCAACCACAAGTCTCCGTCCCGCCAGGGAAGCGGCTTCCTGCTGTTTGTGACCACTAATGAACCTGTGGCCGCTGGACACTGATTCTCTGCCTGTCCCTTTTCCAAGGGGACAATTCATGGTGACATCCTGTGCCTTTGTCTCCATTACATACTAGGGACTTTTGGGAGGACATGATTGAACCTTTAGTCACCCATTACCAGGCCATAAGGAACCCCAACTGGACCCCATTGAGATCACAGCACATCACCCATAGCCCTGGAGTGGGAGCTGGAAGTGGAAACTGGTTGAGACTTCAGGTTAGATCCCTCTTGGGAAGGGGTTAGTTCATTTCATGAATGTGTAAGAATTTTTATTTTTTGAAACAGTTTCTGTTGCCCAGGCTAGAGTGCAGTGGCATGATCACAGCTCACTGCAGCCTTGACCTCCCAGGTTCAAGCGATTCTCCACCTCAGCCTCCTGAGAAGCTGGGACTACAGGAGCACACCACCATGCCTAGCTAATTTTTCAGTTTTTATAGAGATGGGGTCTCACTGTGCTGCCCAGGCTGACCTCAAACTACTGACCTCAAGTGATCCTTCTGCCTTCACTTCCCAGTGATGGGATTACAGGCGTGAGCCACTGCACCCAGACCCTCATGTTTACATAATTTGATCTCACTCCTGACTCCAGCCAAGTACTGGGGCAATGATGAGTGAGTGTGTTACCCAAGACGGACCCATCAGAATCTAGCCCTGGAAACTTGAAACTGAGACTAATATCATGTAGATCAAGGCAGGGACTAAGTTCATCAAGGCAATGGGTGATGTGCTGTGATCTCAATGGGGTCCAGTTGGGGTTCCTTATGGCCTGCTAATGGGTGGCTAAAGGTTCAATCATGTCCTCCCAAAAGTCCCTACTATGTAATGGAGACAAAGACACAGGATGTCACCATAACACCTAGCACAATGCTTGTACCATTACAGCTATGCAAATATTTGGTGAATGAATGAATGAGAGGCTGATTTCCTGAATTGAAGAAATACGAAATTGAGTGTTCTGGGATGATCACCATCCCCCAGCCACATGGAAAAAAAAATCCAATCTAGAAACACAAAGAAGGCAGACAGTAGTCTCTGAAGATTTTAGTTTGCAAACCCTGTGTGACAGTAAGGAAATGAGTGTTCTCAAGATACAAAGATAGCTTTTGCTACCTTTGGCATTCCTTAGATAGAAGTTAGAGGGATCTCTTTCTCTCTCTCCTTCTCTCTCTGTCTGAATTTTTCAGTTTTCAGCAGAGTATGCAGTAGAAAATAGTCTCATTCCATCATGACCTCATCCTTTAAAGCAGAGGTCTTTATTAAATACAAATGAAATGAAAGACCACAATCTAGTAACAATGAACAGGAAGGCTGAAAAAAAAGAACAGGATCAGTCATTTGTGGGGATCCCTGAGAAGTGAAAAACTTGGGCTACTTGTTCAAATACGAAGAACTTTAAAGCTGAGCGCAGTGGCTCCCACTGGCAATTCCAATGCTTTGGGGAGCCAAGGTGAGAGGATCACATGAGCCCAGGAGTTCAAAGCCAGCATAGGCAACATAGTGAGACCACCCCCCGCCATAAAAGAATGAATGAATGGATGGATGGATGAACGAATACATAAATTTTAGGAGCATTCTTCTCCATGACTATGAAATATTTATTTCTTGTAAGAATGTTCTACTTGATGCCAGACACAGTGAGTGGCTCACATCTGCAATCCCAGCACTTTGGGAGGCCGAGGCAGGAGGATCGCTTGAGGCCAGGAGTTCTAGACCAGCATAGGCAACATAGCGAGACTTTGTCTCTACAAGAGATATATATAAAATAATTTAAAATGGCACGAGCAGATCATTCTCCCAAGCATGGGGGCCTTGGATGCATGGAACTATGTGCAACTACACAGGCTGCAGGGCTGCAAAGCTGGCCCCATTAAAGAAGCAGAGGGAGACTGTCCAGTGATAAATTGTCCATTTATCAATTGCTCACTGTAAAAACCATACATTATTATCTTGATGAGAAATCGACTGACCCCCTGCCCCTCAAAACGGCAGCATTCTCCCCTAGATGTCATCACCGTTGGGAACATTAGAGTCTTGCTCTGGGCAATCTGGTTTTAAACTTTATTTTCCATGTACAGTTTCAGATTATACAAAACATAGAAAATAGACTATTTTAAAGGTACATTAAGTAGGAAGTTCCTAACTACCCTAAAATCACAAACCAAGATTCCAAATGAACCTCTAGGCCTTGCCCTAACATTTCCCCAACACCACAAAATTGGCCAACTTGCCCTATTGTAAGTAACCTTTTAACTATTAGCGAGTTTAGTAATATCCCGTAAGGCAGATTTTAAACTATGATACAGCTTCTATCTAGGCCACTGTGTTTAGTGTGTTTACAAACAGGCTTGGAGTTCTCGGTTTCTTCATCATCAGTGAACACAGAGCATCCTAGAGCCCCAGCCTGTTCATGAGGGGTGTGCACAAAAGCACGCAAACTATAGCAGAGTGTGTGGGAGTGAGGAGGTCTGATGTTCCTGTATTCAGGTATAGGTATACACATTCACACAGACCAACAAGTCAAGCATTCTCCAAACTCATTTGAACAGAGACCCAAAATAATTTTAATGCAAATAACAAAATGAGTTAGTCTGTCTCCATCACATCGCCCCTCAATGAAAGAATTACAGTACTTTATAAAAATGTCATAAAATGCGCAAACTACGGTTCCTTCAAATACAGTTGATGCTATCTTTGGTCCTAATATTTGCTTCTTGGATGTCGACTAATTTTGTTGTTGTTATTGTTCTTGAATAACTGGTAATAAGCACCAAGTGGCGGCAGATTCTACCTACAGGTGAGAAGCTTGGATGTTTTCTCCCTGATGTCATTTCTTTCCAACTTCCCAAATCCGTGTCACACAGCAGGGAAGAGGCATCTCTCATGTCTCAAAAAACCTTCATGGCACAGGTGGATGTGGGCACTGAATGTTGTACAGTAGTGGCAACCAGCCAGGAAAATCCACAGGGTCATTTCAGACTGCATTCAAGACAGATACTCACGTAGCCCTGACGTTTCTTGTGAAGGGAATTCATGTATTGCTTGGAGGTGGTCGATCTCTGGTTCTAAGGTGTTTTGTTTCCAGTGTGACTACCAGAAAATTATAGAAGGCCGGGCACAGTGGCTCACGCCTGTAATCCCAGCACTTTGGAAGCTGAGACGGGTGGATCACCTGAGGTCGGGAGTTCAAGACCAGCCTGACCAACATGGAGAAACCCCATCTCTACTAAAAATACAAAAATTAGCTGGGCGTGGTGGCGTGCGCCTGTAATCCCAGCTACTCAGGAGGCTGAGACAGGAGAATCACTTGAACCCAGGAGGCAGAGGTTGCAGTGAGCCAAGATGGTGCTATTGCACCACTCCAGCCTGGGCAACAAGAGCGAAATTCAGCGGAAAAAAAAAAAAAAAGAAGAAAATTATAGGAAAGCCACCAAGGTAGAAAGTTTCAAGGGAACTTAAGATTCAACTTCCTCTATGAGCCTGGGTAGCATCCTGTTAATCCTAGGGGTGTAAACCACATTCTTGCCCACGATATGATCAGTGATAGTATCTCATGGAGGAAGGAGGTGACATTTCTCCTGTCTCTGGCCCCAGGCCACCCTGTACTGCATTGGCAGCTTCTCCATAGGGAGGGGGTCGTATCTCAGACTCCAAACTTCATGAGAGCAGGGGAGATATCTGGATTTGCTCACCCCTGTATTTTCAGAGCCTCACACAGTGCCTGGAACATGATAAACATTTAATACTATCTGTCAAAAACAAATGAATGAAAGAGTAGATGGAAAGAGCCAATCTTGCATTGAAGAGATATCCATGGTGGCCCTAAAACTACTCAAGCCAGACGTGTCTTCAGCTCCACTGGAACTGAGCTGGTGGCAAATCATCACTCCACTCAGCAGAAGGTCAAGTGCACAAGTATTTAAATAGCACAAGGTCCCACACCCCCTCCCAGGACAGCCCCCAGCATCCTGCTCCAACTTAAGCAGAAAAAAACAATGAGGTGCAAACAGCTTCTCTCCTGGGATGGTTCCTGGGTGGCCTGCATTGCCACAAGGACGAGCCCCTAAAAGCCCTATTTGAAGGACGAGCCCCTAAAAGCCCTATTTCTCACCACAGTCTTAAAATCACCTTCAAAACATTCACCCAGACCCGCTGAATCAGCCTGTCCCAAGTGGCATGGGAACCCCTAAAGCTTGAAAACTCTGGCTCTATGGGACCCTCTCACCACATTTACTGTTGGGACCATGGGCCTCTCCACAGACATGTTTTCCGGGTGTTACAGACAGGTACTGTCCAATAAATGTCATCTGCACGAACTGAATGGAGCTATATTTAGACTGATCCAAATGCCTAAATGCCTCCAGGAGCATTTAAAAATAGGCACGCATAAAGCAGATTCCCTCCCATGTCACAGGTCTCGATTTTGAATTATTTTATTTTATATGTATTTTTTGAGACAGTCTCAGACTGTCGCCTGGGTTGGAGTACAGCGGTGCAATCTCGGCTCACTGCAACCTCCGCCTCCCAGGTTCAAGCAATTCTCCTTGCCTCAGCCTCCCAAGTAGCTGGTATTACAGGCGCCTGCCACCACGCCTGGCTAATTTTGTTGTATTTTTAGTAGAGACAGGGTTTCACTATGTTGGCCAGGCTGGTCTTACACTCCTGACCTCGTGATCCACCTGCCTCGGCCTCCCAAAGTGCTGGGATTACAGGCGTGACCCACTGCACCCAGATGATTTTGAATTCTTAGTGATGTTCTTTGCAGCCTCCATCACAGTGTGTAATTAGTTTCTTTTCTTTTTTTGAGATGGAGTCTCACTCTGTTGCCCAGGCTGGAGTGCAGTGGCACAATCTTGGCTCACTGCAACCTCTTGCTTCCTGGTTCAAGTGATTCTCCTCCCTCAGCCACCTGATAGCTGGGATTACAGGCGCGTATCACCATACCCAGCTCATTTTTGTATTTTTAGTAGAGACGGGGTTTCACCATTTTGGCCAGGCTGGTCTCAAACTCCTGACCTCAGGTGATCCACCTGCCTTGGCCTCCCAAAGTACTGGGATTACAAAGGTGAGCCACTGCACACAGCCAGTTTTTCTAATTAATTTTTAATCTGTCTCCTCCACTAGGCCATGAGCCCTAGGAGGACATTGTTTCGATAGGGTATCTCCTGTGCCTGGCACACGCATGCAAGTCATGATTTATGTCGATGAATGAATGAATGAATGAATGAATGAATGAATGAATAGTGAGTGGGTCCTCTGAGGCTCTAGAAATAGGGGTGAGAGGCCAGCCAAGTATAGCATAAAGGGCTGGACAAGAAGGGAGAGGCCTTCTGGGATAGGATGGGAAGGAGGTTGCACCCCACTCCCTGAAGGTATCTATGAGTTCACATGGCCCAGGAATGGGGTTTGGGCCCTAGATGTAGACAGCTGTGGCAATGGAGGCCAAGGTTTTGGCCTGCTGTGGGGGTTACATTCACCTCCTCATCTCCACATGATGACATCCTAGCATTTTTGAGGCAGTTCTGCTCACCCGGCCCAGGGACTGTGGTCCCCAACTGCAATGCATCTGAAGCATTGTCCAGGGAGCGTGTTAGAAATGCAGATTCCCCAGCCCCATCCCTTGAAGACTCCGATTCTGTAGGTCTGGGGTGAGGGGGGGCGCTGTAGGTTTTGCCTGAAGCTGAGTCTAAATCTGGCACACAGGTAAAGGATCACCATTCCTAAGGCAAGCAGGTGACGCTGTCGGCAAATTGAGGTGAGACTTTCTGACCCACCCCTATACCAGAGGGTCGTTCGGGCTCTGGTTTGGATACAGACAGAACGCCAGGGGCTACACCTGCTTCTCACCTGGAACTCGGCCTAAACCTCTCAGGAAGCTGTCATTCTTCTATACCCCACTTCACCCTCTTCCACCCACCACTAGCAGAGAGATTTGGGCGGGGCTTGGGCCGGCTGAAACCTATAGGAAGCTCATCCCCAGAGACCCGGCTTTCCCAGCCTCTCGTCTCCTCCCATCACAGCCCCACAGTTAAGAAATGTCCGGTCGAGCGCTTTTGGATTTGAGCATTGCTGGATTTTTGCTTGTGTCTTGCTGAGACTTTTGAGTGGGCAGCAGTTCTGAATACCAGCCTTCATAGTCTATTCTCTGATCTCAAGAATGCAAAAACTCTTCTCTCTTTTGGATTTTTTTCTTTTTCTTTTTCTTTTTCTTTTTTTTTTTTCTTTTTGGCTTTTAAAGGAAACAATACGTTTGCTAGAAAAACCTCAAAAAAATAATGATTATATACAAAATGGTTATCTGAATGTGGATTCTGTACGGCAGTGAAAGCAACCCAGCTCGGGGTTCTATTTGCGCTTCCTCAGTATCAGGTACATCATGCCGCTGACGAAGGTGCAGGCGAACGCCACCCACGCCAGGATGTAGGAGTAGCCGTAGCTGCCGCCTTCGGTCATGTAATAGAATTGCATGTTTTTCTCGTGAATATCTTCACACCTGTCTGTATAAATGGAGGCCGCAATCATGACACACAGACCTGTCAGGAAGAAAGGTGAGTTTTGAATAAATCATGGACCACAGTGCGCCCTGGGTACAAACTTCAGCTTTTACTCTTTGTTTATTATTATTTTGTTGAAGAGACAGGATTTTGTCATGTCACCCAGGCTGGTCTTGAACTCCTGAGTTCAAGCAATCCGCCTGCCTTGGCCTCTCAAACAGACGTGAGCCACCGCGGCCAGCCTTAAGCTCTTGTTATTAATAGGTATTTATTTTAGTCTATTGGAAAAATTACAACTGATGTTTTGTGGAAGGATATTGTCACCTACCCTGTAGCTATTTTGCTTCCCATTCTTGCTAACTAAACCCAGTTTTGTTTGGGCAGCCACATCACCAACCCAGAGCGTGAACATAATTGGTCTAAGCCAGAGGTCAACAGATGTGCCCTGTAGACAGGAAGCAGTTTAGGTTTTCTGTGGGCCATAGTCACACAAGTCCGCCACAGTTGCATGACAACGCCCATAGAAGATACAAGAATGAATGATAATGGTGGTGTTACAACAAAATTTTATTTACAAAAACACATGGCAGGCCAGATTTGACCTATGAGCCATAGTTTGCCAGGCCTTCTTCTTGGCAATCTGGTTCCTGTTTACTTGTTACAGCCGATGGGTCAGTATGTGTACCAGTCCTGACCACAGAAAACCTTCACTGAAAAATATGACTACCTGGGCCAGGCACTGTGACTCACTCCTGTAATCCCAGCACTGCAAGGCCAAGGCAGGTGGATCACCTGAGGTCAGGAGTTCGAGACCAGCCTGGCCAACACGGTGAAACCTCGTCTCTACTAAAAATACAAAAAATTAGCCAGATGCAGTGGCAGGCGCCTGTAATCTCAGCTACTAGGGAGGCTGAGGCAGGAGAATCGCTTGAACTCAGGAGGTGGAGGTTGCAGTAAGCCAAGATCGCGCCATTGCACTCCAGCCTGGACAACAACAGCGAAAACTTCCTCTCAAAAAAAAAAAGGAAAAAAAAGAAAAATATGACAGCCTGAAAAGAGAGAGATGAGGGAGGAGAAAGCTTTTTTAAGTTGCTCCACTTTCTCTTGCTGACTGCTTTAGATATTGTAGGGGCAGGATGAAATGTCTGGAGTTGCAACAGCCTTTTTGGAGCCATGAAGAGGTCAACACCAACACCAAAGATGACAGAATAGGAGGATGGAATGAATGAGTGGAAGTGCTTGATGCTGATGCTGCCAAATCAGCTCTAGAACCTTTTCTACCTCCAGAGTACTTTTTATGTAAAAATAGTAACTATCTTTGCAACTGAAGACACAGTTAATTCGATTTTCTCTTACATAAGGCCAAAAGCACCCTAACTGTAATACTTGTGGTCCTTGGCCGGGTATGGTGGATCACGCCTGTAATCCCAGCACTTTGGGAGGTTAAGGCGGGCCGATCACTGAAGCCCAGGAGTTCAAGACCAGCCGGCCAACAGAGCAAAACCTCATCTCTACTAAAAATACAAAAATTAGCTGGGTGTGATGGTGTACACCTTGTAGTCCCAGCTACTTGGCAGGCTGAGGCATGAGAATCGCCTGAACCCGGAAGGCAGAGGTTGCAGAGAGCCAAGGTCGCACCACTGCACTCCAGCTTAGGCGACAGAGCAAAACCCTATCTCAAAAAACAAAAAAAGAAATACTTGCTGTCCCAATATTTACAGACATTAGAGCTAAGATGAGGTTAAGTGCTGTGGTTTTCCTTGGGGGACCTATCCCTCTCCTGGCCAGGCAGTTTTGGTGGGACTGTCCTTCAAGATGCCTAGACAGTCTCTGGCCAGGGGCCAAGCACGCAATCTCTGCCAGTCAGACTCTCACTCCTGGAAACCTGAATCTAAACAGTGACCCTGTTAGGCTTCCTTGATTCTGACGGCATCTCCCTGAAGCCGCTGCCTGTCAGTGGCTGGTGCCTGGATCTTCTTTCCAAGACCTGGATTTTCAGCTTTTCCTTTGATTCTTGCAAGCTACCCCCAGAATCCCATCTCTCACATGAGTAAGGGTATCTGCCGCTTGCGTCTGCCTAATATGGCATCTAAACACTCTGCAGTTTGAAGCATAACAGGGAGGGCCAGGTCTTCGGACCAGAAAATGGCCAAAGAAATTGGGGAGAAGGGGATGCTATGGAAGGAAAATAGGAAGACGTGTGAGTTTCATATTAAAATATGGGGGAATTTTCATATATATGAAAATTTATATATAAAATTCCTAAATATATACATTAGGGTAATCAGTTTTGACTAAGTGGCTTTACAGATCAACAGACAGTCAGAGACAATAATGGAACATAAACTTCAGAAGCTGGGCGCGGTGGCTCATGGTCGGAATCCCAGCACTTTGATAGGCTGACACTGGCAGACTGCCAGACCAGCCTGGGCAACACGGTGAAACTCCATCTCTACGAGAAGTATAGAAATTAGCCAGGCATAATGGCGCATGTCTGTAGTCCCGGCTATTCGGGAGGCTGAGGTGGGAGCATTGCTTGAGCCATAGAGGCTGAGGCTACAGTGAGCCATGATCACACCACCGTACTTCAGCCTGGGCAACAGAGTAACCACCCAAGCCCCCCCACCCCAAGTTGAATGACGGGATTCAATTGCCCAAGCCCCCCCACCCCAAGTTGAATGACGGGATTCAATTGCCTTTAATGGGGTCGGGGAGGGTGGGGGTCCACGCCTCTAACTGGCAGATACAGAGACAGTAAAGGAGGGGGATCAGACACCTCCTCACTACCTCGCCTGGGGTCCTTGGGAAGGTCGCATTCCCCCTTTAGGCCTTATTTGTTCTGGCTCATTGCTCTCCAACGCTTGGCTCAGGGACAGGAGTACAAGTCCCCAGGCTCTAACCCAGCAGATTCTGATTCAAGAGGGCAGGCTGGAGCCTTGGGAGTCAGCACTTTAGAAAGGTCCCTGGAAGGATTGGGGTGGATTTGGGGGGTTCTCAAGATCAAGTGACCATCTGGAGTCTTTTGCACTTGAAAACACTTCCATTCTCTGCCTAGAAGGCATGGTATCTGGCTATCCAGTGAAAGTGCCCCAAGGGGAGGGGACGCTGAGTGTGACCAACCACCCTACTTTGCCCTGGCCTGGGGTTTCCTAGGATGTGGAACTTTCAGTGTTTTTATTTTATGTTGTATTTTATTTTATTTTATACTTTTTTCAAGACAGAGTCTCACTCTGTCCCTCAGGCTGGAGTGCAGTGGTGCTATGGTTTGGCTGGGCTGGTCCCCACCCAAATCTGACCTTGAATTGTAATAATCCCCACGTGTCAAGGGCGGGGCCGGTGGAGGTCACTGAATCAAGGGGGCGGTTCCCCCATACTGTTCTCGTGGTAGTAAGTCTCGCAAGATATGATGGTTTTACAAATGGGAGTTCCCCTGCACACGCTCTCTTTGCCGCCGCCATGTAAGCCCTTTTGTTCTCCCTTGTCTTCCACTATGACTGTGAGGCCTCCCCAGCCATGTGGAACTGTAAGTCCATTAAGTCTCTTTCCTTTACAGATTACCCAGTCTCAGGTATGTGTTTACTAGCAGCGTGAGAAGGGACTAATACTAGTGGTACAGCACCCCACAGCTCACGGCAGCCTTCACCTCTCAGGCCCAAATGATCTCCCACTCCAGCCTCCCGAGTAGCTGGGACTATAGGTGTGCTCTGCCATGCTTGGCTAATTTTTTTTTTTTTTTTTGTATAGATGAAGTCTCACTATGTTGCCCAGGCTGTTCTTGAACTCCTGGGCTCAAGCAATCCTCCTGCATGGGCCTCCCAAAGGGTTCCTGCACCTGGTCAGGACTTTCAGTTTTAAAACAGAGGATGGTCCCAGGCAAACTAGAACAAGTTGTCACTGCACTGATGACACGTTTCAGGGTCATCCCAAGGGTATGGCAGGTTTGGACTTGAACCTAGCTGGGGAGGTGGAGGGCTGGAAGGAGGTGGTAGTTAGGGTGATTAGGGCCAAGCAGCCTGAGTTGGCTCTGACACCCGGATTTCTTGCCTTCATCAAGCCACTCGTTAACTCCTGACTGGAAAGCACCCGAGAAGGGACTTCTGCATTTGGTCATCAGAAAGCTTTAAATTGTCACTGAGAAGCGACCAATGATCCTGGCGTGGCTTCTGACTTCTGATCTGACTTCAGCCTTGCTAAAATTCCTAAGTAGAAGAAAATGCTCTGAGACCTCTGCTTCCTCCAAGTTTCTCCAGGACTGAGGCTGTGCCTTGTTCATCTCCTGAGCCCCTGCAGTCAGCACAGGCCTGGCGCAATGTGGGCACATCTGTCACCCACCAGCCTGAAACTTGTTGATGGCTTCCCACCAGTTTAGAACAAAGACCCCAAACCCTTTCTATGGCCTGCAAGACTCCATGGAGCATGGCCCTGCCTGCCCTGCTGGTTCATTTCCCACTGCACTCCAGCCCCACTGGGCAGCTCTCTGTCCCTCCCATCGCAGGGCTTCCATCATGCTGTTCCCTCTACCCAGGACACTGTTCCCTCCTCTCCGTACTGAGACAGAACACTGTCAACAGCAACTCCTACTCACCCTCCAGATCCTCTGGCTTCATGTCTCCAGGATGCCTTCCCTGGACTCCCAACTCAATCCAAACTCCCGACTATAAAATGTCCCACTGTGGTACAGCATGGGTGCACACACACACATACACACACAAACACACACATGCACACACAAACACACACATGCACACAGCACCGCATGGCTGCCAATTTCTCCTTTCCAAATCCTCCCTCCTGGCTTCCCTCCTGGCGGCTGGGAAGGGAGTGCTTATTCCAGGAAGCCCCTTGTTAGGCAAGCCCGTCGATTTACTTACATGCCATTAGCTGGATGATGGAGGTTAGGACAAACCTCTCTCCCTGCTTCAGGCGGAAGAGCTGGAGCACGAAGATGAAGAAGGCGATGCAGCAGAGAATGGTGGAGAGGATCATCGTGGCCTGGACCGCCTGCAGCGTGGAGTACTCTGCGGGAAAAGGGTGGGGGCACAGGACTGAGGACCGTGGCCAGCCGGCACTGCGGGGTGCACGGTGACTGCGGCAGCTCCAGAGTAGGGGTGACAGGAGGCAAACAGGCAGGGGTTCAGGCTGTCGTCTACACGGTCCGAGCACAAGGGCAGCCAAGGAGTCTTCCAGACCCCCTGCCCTTCACCTCCAGTGTCCATTTGACTGGACAATCCTCAGCACCCTTATGTGGAAGACGAGGCAAGAATCATTTGCTCTGCATTCTTCCCGGTCTGGGTCACAGCTCCCAAATGCTTGGCTCATGAACAGGGGATTCTTTCGAAGTACAAATCCCAGGTTCCAACATGGTAGATTCTGACTCAAGGAGTCAGGATGGGGCCTTGGGGGTCTACATTTTAGAGAGGGATTCTTGTGGACTCGGGGCTCACGGGACCGTGACCTTGTGAAGTGCTCTGTGGACCCCATAGTAGCCTGCAGGTATCAGAGGCTGATCTTCACGGTCACTACTTACAAAGAGGAGGAAGCTCCTTTCTTTTCAGGTCAGCCTTAACAGAGATTGGGGTGTGAAGGTTTGGGGCTCAGTACAGAGAAGTTTCAGTGGAGAAGGGAGGTCTATGGTGGAGGGTGTCACATGGGGGCAGGTCACAGTGAAGCTATGCATAGAAAGCTATGTGGCGTAGGGAAGGCGTCCTGCACATGGGTTACAGCCACCTTCGTGGGCCTCAGTTTCCTCACCTGTAAAATGGGGATACATTTTTTTTTTTTTGAGACAGGGTCTCACTCTGACGTCCAGGCTGGAGTGCAGTGGCACAACCATAGCTCACTGCAGCCTTGAATTCTTGGGCTCAGGTGATCCTCCTGCCTCAGGCTCCTGTGTAGCTGGGACTACAGGCATGTCTGGCTAATTTTTAAAAAAGTTTTGTAGGGATGGAGTCTCGCTATGTTGCTCACGCTGGTCTTGAACTCTAAAATGGGGATACTAATACCTCCTCCCTCATCGGGCTGGGAAGGGAGAGTAAACTTGTCTACGTAAGGGGGTTTAGAGGGTGCAGGCAAGGTGGGAGTCCTGTGTAAGAGCTGAATGCTGAATGTTAACCACTAGGATGAGGCCAAAAGAAAGGTGAGGGGACAGTGTCCGTGCTGCACAGCAAACCTAAGGCACACCTTCCTTTTCTTTTTCTTTTTTTTTTTTGCTTCAATTTTACAGTTTTGCCCAAAAACTCACTAGAGTGAACATAATTTGTAAGTACTTAACGAAACGTCTAGAGCTGTGGATTTAATCCATTCTGGCTACACATCATGGTTACTTGGAGAGCATCTAGCCTCTCCCCCAATTCCTTACGGGGAGCAAAAGAAGTCAGACCGGCTCCCCCTCTATGACACACACCACATGACCCCGTTCCTACGAGGCCCAGGAACAGGTGGAAGTGAGTTACAGTGACAGAAGTCAGAAGTGGTTGCCTTGAGGGCAGAAAGCGGTGGCAACTGTGTGGACGGGGGCCCGAGGAACTTTCTGGAGAGTTGGGAATGTTCTCTGTCTTCTTTTGGATGGTGGTTACATGGGTGTTTATATAATTGTCAAAACCCACCAAACTGAGCCCTTAAGAAGCCTGCACCTTGTTTGTAAATTATAACTCCATTAAAAAACAAAAACAAAAACGAAAAAACCCAGCAGGCTCTACTGAGATGAAATAAATCAGAATGTCGGGCATTGAGACCAGGCATGAGGGCTTCATAAAGCCACCGAGGGAATTCCAGTGCGGGGCCCAAGTGGTGACCCTCTGGCTTAGAGCAGCACTTCCCAAATCTGCCCAATCCCAGGGATCACCTGGGATTGTTTATTAAAAATGCAGATTCTTAGGCCTCTCCCCCTGGAGATTCTGCTACCATTGTCCTGGAGCGGGCACCAGGAATTTGTATTTTCAGCAACAAGTGACCCACGATGGGGCAAATGGGGAAAACATGCCTTTGGGGGAAAGGATGAATTCATTTTCCTAGAACAGGGTTTCTCAAAGCTGAGAGGGGGTGCAGGATGTGCCCACAAGGCAGCCCCTAAGATGAGTGCATGTGGAACCCAGTGAGGACGGGAAACAACGAAAATTCACTGAATGAGAGGGATGCTCACTTTGCTCAGTTTAAATTCCTCTAAGGGCCGGGCGCGGTGACTCAGCCTGTAATCCCAGCACTTTGGGAGGCAGAGGCAGGTGGATCACCTGAGGTCAGGAGTTTGAGACCAGCCTGTCCAACACGGCAAAACCCTGTCTCTACTAAAAATACAAAAATTAGCTGGGCGTGGTGGCGCACACCTGTAATCCCAGCTACTCGGGAGATGGAGGCAGGAGGTTGGCTTGAACCCAGAAGGCGGGGGCTGCAGTGAGCCGAGATTGCGCCACTGCATTCCAACCTGGGTGACAGAGCAAGACTGTGTCTCTAAAAAATAAATAAATAAAAATAAATAAATAGATTTCTCTAAGGACCTCAAGGAGGAGTTCTTCACCAGCTGCTTTTGCGCTGTAAAAACACCCACTAATATCTGGGTGTTTGGGGTTGTTTCTTAACATGAAAAGGGCCAGAAACAGGCTCAGAGGCCTCAGGAGGGAAGTGTGTCTGGCCAGACTTTCATAAAGTCACCGGGCTTTTGATCTAGTATTTTCAGAAAGCTTCCCTTCTTTTATGGCAAGTGAGACTAGTTTATCACTTGTCTTTAATATAGACTTATGGTTTGGGAGGCCGAAGCGGGTGAAGCGGGAGAAGCGCTTCAGCTCAGGAGTTCAAGACCAGCATGGGCAACATGGTGAAACCCTGTCTCTACAGAAAATACAAAAATTAGCCAGGTGTGGTGGCACACACTCATGTACTGGGGAGGCTGAGGTGGGAGGATCACTGGAACGTGGGGGGCAGACGTTACAGTGAGCCGTAATTGCACCACTGCACTCCAGCCAGGGTGACAGAGTGAGACCCTGATTCAAAAAATAAAATAAAATAGATTTATGGGCGAGTGCAGTGGCTCATGCCTATAAATCCCAGCACTTTGGGAGGCCAAGGTGGGAGGATCACTCGAAGCCAGGCATGAAAAACCAGCCTGGGCAACACAGCAAGACCCTGTCTCTACTAAATAAATAAATACAGTAGATTTATGTACAGAAAAGTGGGCTATTTTAAAAGTAAACTTTTTAAAGTAAAAAAAATTGGCAAACTTCAGGAGAGGGACAGAGAGTGAATATTTTCGGTTTTGTGAACCATATGGTCTCTTGTCAAATGTTCTTTTTGTTTTTAGGGGTGTGTGTGTGCGTGTGTGTGTGTGTATGTGTGCGTGTGTAAACAACTTTTAGAAATGTAAAAACTGTTCTTAGCTCCCAGGCCAAACAAAAACAGGCCTTGGACTGAATTTGGCCAGTGGTTCGCCAACCCGTTTTAAAGAAAAATAAGTCAATAATCCCAAGTGGAGGATGCGGAAAAACAGCCACAGAGCACAGCAAGCCCGCCCAGCTGGCCTTGCACACTGGCGACAGCTGGCGCTTGCAGAGCACAGGGAAGGAGGGCTGTTTCCAGGGCCAGAGGTTAGAGTGACAGAATAACAGATGAGATGGAAGAGAGCACCGATGGTGTTCCGTGGTTAAGGGCACCGGCTTTAGAGTTGGTCACATCGAGACTGGAATCCTGCCGCCATCATTCGCTCCTGGCTATGTGGCCTTGGGTAACTTAACTGCTCTGTGCCTCAGTTTCCCCATCTTAAAATGGGGCCTATGGTCCCTGCCTGATGGGGCTATGACATCACCTATGTAAAGGACTGAGACCCATGCCTCACAGTTAAGTAAGTGGTGCCTTCTACTGGTATTTTTGCTGCTTTTATGATAAATATGGATATTGTGATTGAGTGCGGTGAGAATCTGGGACCCAGGGAGTACACTCCTTTGCTCCCTAACAGGATTGTCAGATTTGGCAAACAAACCAAAACAAACACAAAGGCAGGATGCCCAGTAAATGAATATCCAATAGACAATTAACAATTTTTAGGCAAGGCATGGTGGCTCGTCCTCCTCCTTTAGGCTGAGGCAGGCAGATCTCTTGAGCCCACGAGTTGGAGACCAGCCTGGGCAACATGGTGAAACTCCATCTCTACAAAAATTATAAAAATTAGCTGGGCATGGTGGTGAGTGCCTGTAGTCCCAGCTATCTGAGAAGCTGAGATGGGAAGATCACTTGAGCCCAGGAGGTCAAGGCTGCAGTGAGCTGTGATCGCACCACTGCATTCCAGCCTGGGTGACAGAGTGAGACCCTGTCTCAAAAAACAAACAAACAAAAAACTAAAAACTAAACCCTCCCCCCCAACAAAACCAATAAGTTTTAGCATAAGTATGTCCCATGTTATATTAACATTTGGGGCATAGTCATACTAAAACAAAGTACTTATTGTTTATCTGAAATCTCCAATTTAACCGCGTATACTATATTTTATCAGGCAACTGGGATCCCAAAGTATCTATTCCATCAGTTCTATGAGGAAAAACAGAACCATTCACTTCATAAGGAAAAACAGTGGTCAGCATGTTTTTGAATGGGATTTTCTGTATTTCAAAGCCTTTTCATATATTTTAGCTTATTGAAGAGGTGGGCACGGCAAGGGCATCATTATTACTTCTATTCTACAGCTGAGGATGTTGAAATTGACCTGCCCAATGCGAGGTTACACAGCTTGTCTAGGAACGGAAGCCAGATCTCAGAGTTCTGTTTGCTTGTTTTTGAGACAGGGTCTCACTCTGTCACCCAGGGTGCAGTGCAGTGGCGTGATCTCGGCTCAGAAAACGCAACCTCCGCCTCCTTCGTTCAAGCAATTCTCTTGCTTCGGCCTCCTCAGTAGGTGGGATTATAGGTGTGCACCACCACGCCCAGCTAATTTTTGTATTTTTAGTAGAGACAGGGTTTTGCCATATTGACCAGGCTGGTCTCAAATTCCTGACCTCAAGTGATCCATCCGCCTCTGCCTCCCAAAGTGCTGGGATTACAGGCATGAGCTACTGTGCCCGGCCAGATCTCGGATTTCTTACTGCTGGACGGGGAAAAGTGACTAGAGAGTAAATCATGGTCTCTGAGACCATTCAGAGGCAAGTCTTGGATAAAAAAAAAGGGAAGAGAAAATTCTAGATGAGAGCTGAAGCTGGAGAAAAGATGAGGAAGGGAAACTCGGCTGTGCCAACAGACAGAGAAGAGAAGGCATGAGGTCCAACTCAGCTGGAGTTGGTCTCCCTCTAGCCTCCGGCTTCGCCACACCCCTGACATCTCCAGCTTCTGGTGTCCTCCGCTCTAACATACACTGAGCAAACGCGGCCAGGCCCATTGGAGTATGCAGCAAGTGGAGGAGCGGGTGAGGAGTCGGGGAACCCGAAAGCCTCACTCCTGAACGTTCTTTCCTCCCTCAGTGCTTCTCAGTCAGCTTCCTTCATTCACACTCACCTTGAAAGCTGTCATTGATTACTGTACAATTCGTGTTGTTGGTACATATTCTCCAGACATCTGCAAAAAACTCATCTCCTACCCACCAGGCCTGTAACACAAAATGGAAACAGAGAGAAAGGCTGTCCGTTAATGATGCAAACACTGACTCCTAACTAGGCATGAGGCATGGTGGGCTTCTGGGATTCTCAAACTGCAGTGCATTTGAGAATTCCTAGGGAGCTTATTCTAATGCAGACTGACTCAGGAGGTCTGGGGTGGGGCCTGGGTTCTGCATTTCTTTCTTAGTTATTTATTTTTTTGAGACAGAGTCTTGCTCTGTCGCCCAGGCTGGAGGGCAGTGGCACGGTCTTGGCTCACTGCAGCCTCCATCTCTTGGGCTCAAGCAATCCTCCCACCTCAGCCTCCTGAGTATCTGGGACTACAGGTGCACATCACCATGCCTGACTAATTTTTGTATATTTTGTAGAGCCAGGGTTTACCATGTTGCCAGGCTAGTCTTGAACTCCTGACCTCAGGTGATCCACCCACCTCAGCCTCCCACAGTGCTGGGATTACAAACATGAGCCACTGCGCCCAGCCAGGATTCTACATTTCTTTTTTTTTCTTCTTTTTTTGTTTTTTTTTGAGATGGAATTTCACTCTTGTTGCCCAGGCTGGAGTGCAGTACATGATCTCAGCTCACTGCAGCCTTCCCATACTGAGTTCGAGTGATTCTCCTGCCTCAGCCTCCTGAGTAGCTGGGATTTAGGGGCATGCACCACCACACCTGGCTAATTTTGTATTTTTAGTAGACACAGGGTTTCGCCATGTTGGTCAGGCTGGTCTCAAACTCCTGACCTCAGGTGATCCAGCTGCCTCGGCCTCCCAAAGTGCTGGAATTACAGGCGTGAGCCACCACGCCCGGCCGGGATTCTACATTTCTAACCGGCTCCAGGTGATGCCCTGCTACTGTCTCCCAAAGGATAAGAGGTGGTCCAGGCCCTCAGAGAGTATGGGAGAAAAGATAAGGCTGAGTTGGTGGAAATATTAGCAGACAGGGCTGGGCACGGTGGCTCATGCCTGTAATTTCAGCACTTTGGGAGGCCGAAGTGGGAGGATTGCTTGAGCCCAGGACTTTGAGACCAGCCGGGGCAACTCATCTCTACAAAAAAATACAAAAAAATTAGTCAGGCGTGGTGGTGCATGACTGTAGTCCCAGCTACTCAGGAGCCGGAGGTGGGAGGATCACTTGAGCCTGGGCAGTAGAGGCTGCAGTGAGCCATGATCGCAACACTACACTCCAGCCTGGGTGACAGAGAGAGACCCTGTCACAAACAAACAAACACTGCAATGCATGGGATGACCAGACAAGATTCTCCTGTCTTCAGCCCAAAGCATTCATTTCCCTCTGTGCTTTGGTGGCTGCTGTCCTTCACCTACTGCCCAAGATGGCCTTCCTTCTACCTTCCAGTTGCCAAGCACAATTCCAAATGCGTAATGAATACCCTCAGATTCACTGATGGACAAAGAGTCCATCTGCGTCTTCTCAGTATGTGCCACGATAATATACATGCCCTGGGGGTGCTAGATACGATTCACTAAGGCTGATGGTTTCCTGCCCCTAATGTCTGTGTATCCTTTTCACTAAGTCTGGGGCCTTTTCTGGATGCCAAAGGACTAGATGGGAAGAAATAGAAAAAAGATTCTAAAAGAACATTCGGTCCCATTGATTTCACAGTGGCTCCTGGAATGGTGGGTCCAAATACTATAATCCAGGGTTCCCCAACCCATGGGCCATGGACTGGTACCTGTCTGTGGCCTGTTAGGAACCAGGCCATGCAGCAGAAGGTGAGCAGCCAGTGAAGGAAACTTTATCTGTATTTACAGCTGCTCCCCATCGCTCACACTACTGCCTGAGCTCTGCCTCCTGTCAGGTCACCAGGGACATTAGATTCTCATAGGAGTCAACCTTATTGTGAACGGTGCATGCCAGGGATCTAGGCTGCACGCTCCTTATGAGACTCTAATGCCTGATGATCTGTCATTGTCTCCCATCACCCCCAGATGGGACCGCCTAGTCCAGAAAAACAAGCTCAGGGCTCCCACTGATTCCATTATGACGAGTTATATAATTACTCCATTATATATTACAATGTAATAATAATAAAGTACATAATAAATGTAATGCACTTCAATCATTCTGAAACCATCCCCCTGCAATGCCCCTCCCCAATCTGTGGAAAAATTGTCTTCCATGAAACCAGTCCCTGGTGCCAAAAAGGTTGGGGACCACTGCTATACTCCATAGCATCAATGTGGTCCCTACCCAGGCCACTCACAGCAGCTCAGCAAGAAGCTCCAGAACCCAAATGCGATGACTGCGCTCATCTCCCCTGACAGGCTCCAGGACCAGGAGCCTCTGGAATGACTTAAATCCTGGCTCTGCTGCTTACTGCACTGTAAACTCTGCCAAGTGCCCGAATGGCCCTGAGGCTCAGCTCCTTCACCTGTAACCCAGTGCAAGGAGAGGTTGGTACCCTACCTGGTACAGTTGGGGTGGAGATCACATGAGATGACATGCATAAAAGGGCCATAGTGATCACTAAGTGACAGGTGTTATCGTTTATGTTATTATTGTCATGATGATTCAACAGGAGCCGTATATGTAGACAGAGTTGGTGACCACTCGTGTGGTGTACTTTTTGGCTTTCTGAGCAATGTTTCTGCCCTTTAATTATCTCTGCAGTCTAAAATGAGCAGGATGGACGCCAGGTCTTTGGATCGGTGTATAAGCCAGAGAGAAGCTCTGTTAAGAAGCTTCCCTAATGTCACTCCCTGCTTGGGGGGATATTAATCTATGCCAAGAGGTTATTTATCTAATACATTCCTGCCATATGGCTGCAAGCTGGATACTAAAGGAAAACGTTAAATTTTTCATAGGGGCATACGTAGAGTCTGGAAAGTTCCATGCATGAGCTCTGCTGGGGAGGACATGGCCGGGTGGGCTAGCAACAGGGGACCCTGGTTGATAAGGAGGTGTCAGGAGTTGGGGGCAGAGGCCACCTGGGATAGGTCACCTGGAGGATCTAGGGCAGTGGTCCTCAACAGAGGGTGATTTTGTTCTCCATGGGACATCTGACAATGTCTGAAGATATTTTAGATTGTCATAACCAGGGGTGGGGGTGCTACTGCATCTAGCGGGTAAGGCCAGACATATTGCTGAACTTCCTACAATGCACAGGGAGGCCCCCATAACAAAGGATTATCCAGCCCAAAACGACAATAGTGGCAAGGTTGAGAACTCTGATCTAGAGGAAAGCTGAAGTCACACAACATCCTCAAAGGGCTTCCTAGAGACCAGCTCTATGAAAGAATCACGGATGGGAGGACAAACGTCCCTGCCTGCCAGGACCTGCCCCCAAAACCTGAACATGGGACGGCCTGAACCTTCACATTCAGGCCAAGAGTCTTTAGCCCTTGGGTCAGAAGATGGGTGTGCCTCCGCAGGGAGGACAACCCCAAACTATGGTTGAACCTTGGCAGGGTTCTCAACCTGTGATATGGTTTGGCTGTGTCCCCAACCAAATCTCGAATTGTAGTTCCCATAATTCCCACATGTCATGGTAGGGACCCACTGGGAGGTAACTGAATCATGGGGGCAAGTTCTTCCTGTACTGTTCTCGTGGTAGTGAATGGGTCTCACGAGATCTGATGGATTTATAAAGGGCAGTTGCCCTGCACACGCTCTCTTGCCTGCTGCCATGTAAGACGTGTCTTTGCTCCTCCTTTGCCTTCTGCAGAGGCTTCCCGAGACACGTGGAATTGTGAGTCCATTAGACCTCGTTTTCTTTATAAATTACCCAGTCTCTGGTATGCCTTTATTAGCAGCATGAGAACAGACCAATATAACCCACTTCTATTGACTCCAGGACCCGGGGTTCTGAGTAAGTGGAAGGAAAGGAAACTTACATTGTCGATGGTGGCAATGAACAGCAAGGCTGCAGAGGTGATGTGGAAGGCGATGATGAAAGCAAGAAGCACCAACATTTTCACAGGGCAGGGCGAGGCGAGGGGTCACGTTTAAAGCCCAGAGCGGGATGTGCTGAAGGGGTTAAGAAAGAGAAATTCAAAATCTGTCAATGACAAAACAAAATTACAATAAAAAATAAACACCTTTTAGCTGGGTGTGGTGGCTCATGCCCATAATCCTGGAACTTTGGGAGAAGGCACGAAGATAGCTTGGGCCCAGGAGATTGAGACCAGCTGGGGAAACATAGTAGCCACTGTCTCTAAAAACAATAAAAGAAAATTAGCTGGGCCTCATAGTCATACCTGCAGGCCCAGCTACTTAGGAAGCTAAGGCAGGAAGATAGCTTGAGCCTAGGAGGCTGAGGATGCAGTGAGCCATAATTGCACCACTGCACTCCAGCCTGGGCAACAAAGCAAGGCTCTGTCTCTTAAAAAGAAAAGGCAACATTTCATAGGGTCTTGGAAAAGCAAAAACAGTGGCTCCCCATCTTTACTCGCCTGGAGACTTTACTGGACAAAAGTCTGGCATGAGAGGGGCTGTCTGCTATTGCATTCAGATGCCAAATATTCCTTGTGGAGGAGGAGGGTGAGGACTCATTAGAATCCCTAATTCAGAAAACCATCACGCCTCTTCGGCAGAAGGAGTGGCTTTGTGTGTGCTAAGATGCTGTTCCTGATTCCCCACGCCCAGAAGCTCACTGAGGATTCCTGATCAGAGCCTCTGCTTCATAATAAAGAAAAAGTGATCACAATACAGAAATATTTCCTAATGATCTGATCATTTATAAAATTAATACCCAGCTGGGCATGGTGGCTTATGCCTGTAATCTCACCACTTCGGGAGGCCAAGGCAAGAGGATGTTAATTAAGCCCAGGAGTTTGAGATCAGCTTGGGCAACAGAGCAAAACTCCATCTCTACAAAACATTTGAAAAACTAGCCTAGTGTTGTGGCATGTGCCTGTGGTCCCAGGTACTTGGTAAACTAAGGCAGAAGGATTGCTTGAGCCCAGGGAGTGGAGGCTGCAATAAACCATGATCTCACCACTGCACACTAGCCTGGGTGACACAGCAAGACCCTATCTCAAAAAAATAAAAATAAAATAAAATAAATATCCACTCAGAAACCATTCTTCTTAATATATATTCCCATTTGAACAACACTGGACCCCCAAAAAATACATTTAATTTTTCCCTCTCTGATCACACAGGAAGACTACATTTCCTGGACTCCCTTGCAGCTATGGGGGAAACTCATGACTAATAGCCCAGAACTGCATGGCATGGCCATTTCCAGGCTGATGAAGAGGAGAGCAGGTACTCATGACTAATTCTAACCAATGGGCCAGAACTGCATGACATGGCCATTTTCAGGCTGATGCAGAGGAGAGCAGGTATGAGTTTTCCATGCTCCCTTTCCCTAAGGAAGTAGCTGGGGATGGTGCAGCCATAGTAGGTTGAAGCCTCACATCTTGGACAGATATCATGACTGGGGAATTAATAAGCCTCTGAATGTTAAACCACTGAGATTTCAGGGTAATGCTTTACTTTGGCAGGACAGTTTGAATGATATACAAAGGAAGTAACTGCAAAGTGAAACTGCAAGTGTTACAACAGAACTACAGTTGTCCAAAGTTGATGAAAATATCATGGGAGATCAGAAGAAAAGCAACTGAGGGCATGAATACATGAGGACTTGTCTGAGCTGGACAAGTTCCCAATAAATGAGGAAAAAGCATTCAAAAGAATGCTTTAACTATGAAACAATTAAAAGTCACACTGGGGAAAATTGATAAAATCTTTGAGTATATTATAACCATCATCTTGGTCAATAAAAGTCAAATGTCAAGAGAAGATGTCACATCAAATCATCTGGTGGGAAGATGCAACCTCCTAATATCAACACTTGGTTCATTCTTCTTTTATTCCAATAATTTGTGACCAGACAGTTAGTAATTTTTTTGGAAAAAAATTAATTTGTAGTTTCATGTTTTGAAGTACTGTGCAAATCAGACCTTTTGTTCACTGTTCACTGGGATGAAATTGTAGCCCCAGTTTTAAATGGATTAATGCACACACATACACACACACACACACTGTCTCTCTCTCTCTTTCTGACCCACTTGAGAGTAAGTTGCCTAAACCATATAACTAAGTGCTTTAGTGTGTGTTTCTGAAAAACAAGGACATTTTCTTTCTTTTCTTTTTTTTTTTTTTTTTTTGAGACAGAGTCTCACTCTGTCGCCCAGGCTGGAGTACAGTGGCGTGATCTCCGCTCACTGCAACCTCCACCTCCCAGGTTCAAGTGAGTCTCCTGCCTCAGCCTCCTGAGTAGCCATCCATATTGTGGCATGTATGGGAAGGTATTTTGAGATATTGTAAAGATCCTATCTGTCATGAAACTTTCACTCCGAGTTTAAGCATTCACTGATATTTCTGAAATAGGACTTTTTTTGTTTTGGTTTTGAGACAGAGTCTTGCTCTGTTGCCCAGGCTGGAGTACAGTGGCACAATCTTGGCTCACTGCAACCTCTGCCTCCCAGGTTCAAGTGATTCTCCTGCTTCAGCCTCCTCAGCAGCTGGGACTACAGGCATGTGCTACTACACCTGGCTTATTTTGTATTTTAGTAGAGACGGAGTTTCACCATGTTGGCCAGGCTGCTCTCGAACCCTCCACCTCAGGTGATCTGCCCGCCTCGGTCTCCCAAAGCACTGGGATTACAGACGTGAACCACCATCCCCAGCCCGAAACAGGATCATTTTAAAAGGCGTTTTTCTGGTACCAACTATTCCCACTCCTCTAGTGGACATGCACTGACTGCACAAACCCTCCACCTTTTCACTGCCAGCTCTCCTATCCAACCATGCTCATTCTCACCCCCATTATCCCCTCACGGAATGGAACAAGGCTCCTGGGCTCATACAGGGTCCACTCCTTGAGACCTAGGATGCATTAACAATAAGCCAGGAGCTGTATGGCTGCAGAACTCAGTCTGAGAGGTCCTGGCTGTGAGTCTGTGCATCAACAATTAGAAGGACCCAATGAACCAGCTTAGAGATTCTTCTAATTCTTTCAAAAAGGACAAATTCCCCTTTGTTTAGGCCTGCATCATTCTTAGCTGCCATCATATGCTGCTGCCTCCAAAATGATGCATTCCTTTTTTTTTCTTTTCTTTTAAATAGATGCATTTCTGACCCTGGGGGGAAAAAGGGCTCATGTACCATGCTGAATGCCCTGTTACTTTAACATCAGCAGGAATGCCCAAATGCCAACTTCACCAGGGCCATTAACTCCAGGGTGATAATGGCTTCATATGCTGTTCAGCTCAGATGACACAAATCCATATGGACATGTAACTAAAACTTTCTAGAAAAAAATGGTTTTAACCCATTCTTTCCCAAAGGATGGAATTAAAATGTTATAAGGCATGGTTTTGGATAGTGCATTGATAGGGCATTAAGCAACACTGAACCACATAGTGAAAAAGTCCCCATTCCAATCCTTCTGAGTTCACCAAGGAAAAGACCCAGTTTGGTGCTAGTCAGTCTCCAATACTTGCTAATTTCTTTTTAACAAAAAGAGAAAGCAGATCTTTGGTTAGAACGTATTTGTAGCTAGAATTTAATAACATCATTCTGAGTTTATTGTATTTATTTGTAACGTTCTTTTTATAAGGAATAAACACCACTTATAGTAGTGATATAAAGTATCATTTTAAAACCAAGTTATTGAAGCTTTAAAAGTGAACAATTCAGGGAAAATGTTATGTAAGTAAAAGGACAGGTGGTCCTCAGTGTCAGCAGAAATCCTCAGGGTGGTTGTCAAATGCTGCTGTCTGGGAGGTACTGTTTTAAGCTCTGGGAATGGTTTCAATTGGACATTTCAGACATCAGGAACAAGCTTCCACAGAGAAAGGGATACGTTTTAATGAGAAGTCAAGTAAGGTTTCGAGTACAGTGTAAGAGAAATGGCGGCTAGAGGTTGGTTTGAACCACCAGGCACTCTGAAAAATAACAGAGAAGTAAAGGTCTCCTATGACATCTGGAATTCAGATCTCCAGTAAAAACCAAAATGGGGTAGCTCAATTTTAGGACTTGTGAACCCAGGACATTGCTGGTGACTTCATCCGAGGCTTTGGAGGAAGTTATTCACAAGTAGCGGAAATCCCCCAAATGTTTAAGAGGGAATAAAAATAACTCTTTACTCCTGCAACTCTATACCAAAATAAGTCTCCCTTCTGCACCACCATTTCCGACGCCAGTCAGCCACTGCCCTCTTAGGGGGAACCACGCTTCTCAGTTTCCTGTGCCTCCTTCCAGAGGTATTTACTGGGAGAACACTTATCCTTCACTCCACGTTTCCGTGTGGCGGGAGCTGTACCAGAGTAACACTCCCGGCCTCTTGTCCCGCCCCTCACTCATCCCTTCACACCTGATTGGAGGAAGCGCCACTGTTCGCTTTCTGGATTGGTGGAGCGCATTTATTCAGGCCCCGGTGCAGTGCTTTGCCCTCGACCGCACCTCCTCCTGGGCATGGCTGCTCCCACCGCGCCCCAGTCAACTGTCTTTGGCTGGATGGGCCGAGGGCTAGTAGGGGACAGGAGCGTGGAGTTGGGAGTTCCAGCAAACTCCTTTGGCCACAAGTCTAAGCCCCAACCTCCAACCTAGCTTTTCTAATAATATCCCTCAGAGAACATTCTTTCCCTGTGCCTACGAATACACCTCATTCCTTGAATGGCTGCCTGGTGTTCCCTTGTGCGGCTACACCACTATTTACTTAACTAGTTTCCTATTGGTAGCCATTTAGGTTGCTCCCAGACTTTCCGCTGCTCCATATGGCACTGCCAACAAGCATCCTCCCACTTACTTCTTTGCACACCTTGCATTAATATATTTAAAGATAGATTCCTAGTAGTGAAGGCGCTGAATCAAAGACTATGTGCATTTATTTTACTTGTAATTTAAACAATTTAATTTACTGCCATGTATACTGGACATTGTTCATACTGTGTCAGCCCTGATCTTCACAGGGTCTTCAGAGGGTATTCAAACCTTTTTTTTTTTTTTTTGAGATGGCGTCTCGCTCTGTCACCCAGGCTGGAGTGCCGTGGCGTGATATCCACTCACTGCAACCTCCACCTCCTGAGTTCAAGCGATTCTCCTGCCTCGGCCTCCTGAGTAGCCGGGATTACAGGAGTGCACCACCATGTCCACCTAATTTTTGTATTGTTAGTAGAGACAGGGTTTCACTATGTTGGCCAGGCTGGTCTCGAACTCTTAACCTCAGGTGATCCACCAGCCTTGGCCTCCCAGAGCGCTAGGATTACAGGCGTGAGTCACTGTGCCCGACCAAGCATTGGACCAACTCTTAAGCATTTATGTGAGTGGGTGGAGAAGTCGTGATGTTATGTCTTTGACTCCTGACATAAGTTGCTCCCAAGAAATATAATTTTGGTCCCTAGAGACCAGCTTCCCTAGGGATTTTCCAAGTGGTGCTATCTCCTTGCCACCACATACACCCATGTTGCATCCTGCCCTCTCGGATGATACAAAAGAACAAACAGCTCCCGGGGCTGTGTGTCGGATGAAGGCTGGTCCACTAAGCCCAAGGTGGCATCAGAATTAATCCTTGCCATTCACAAAAAGTTATTTTCCCTTTGAAAAGTGTAATAGTAAATACGGATCCATCTCCTTCCCCTACCACACCCCAATCCCTATGCCCGCCCTTGTGCCTGCAGGCTTCAGTGCTCTGCTGCTTTAGGGGAACTAGTCTTGGTTCTCCGAACACGGTTCCCTGGAGCGGTCTCTCCGTTTCACCCTCAGCTGACTCTCTGGCATTGTCTGGGTCTTAATTCAAACATCACCTCCCCAGAAAAGCGCCCCTGAGCATACCATGTAAAGTAACCACGCCCCCTCCAGCATAATTTAGCCCATCCCCCTAGTTTATTTTCTTTGGAGGATTTGCATGGTCTGAAAGCATCTTATTTGTTCAGTTGTTTATTGTCTCTCCCCCTCTGATAGCTATTTGCTATCATTGTCCAGTTCTAGAAATGTAGAGCTATAAGGGCCCTTGGAAAACTCAAAGCCCTATTGTCCAGGGGCATTAACAGAAACCAAGGAGGGCCAATACTTGCTCCATCTCACAGCAAAGCACGAACAAGGTCAGGACTAGACCAGGGTCTCCTGGCTACTACTCCAATCACCCTGTCTCAGTGAGACACCTCAGAAGGCCCATGACAATCTTTCAGGAGTCAATGATGTTCCCCAAAAGCCTCTGCCACTTTGAAGCATAACTTTCGCTGTGGAATACAAACTGCTTTTTTCCTTCTTCAATTTGTTCAGGGGCCACGCAGCACATTCCAAAAGGCCACCTGAGTTTTGGCATTTACCCACCTGAAGGTAGGAGACTGCACTAGATGAAATGTTCAAGTTTCTATGTAGAAATCAAAGTCCTATGATTTGCAGAACTTCTCTTTTAAAAATGTTTTGATCTACATAAAATGATGATTTTTTAAAGAAGATAATAGAACCAAAAAGCATATGGTGAAAAAATAGTCTTCTGTCATACCCCTGTCCTACAACCTGGAAGCAGTCACTTTTTTTTTTTTTTTTTTAAGATGGAGTTTTGGTTTTTTTTTCCGGGCTGCAGTGCAATGGAGCGATCTCAGCTCACCACAACCTCTGCCTCCCGAGTCCAAGTGATTCTCATGCCTCGGCCTCCCGAGTAGCTGGGATTACAGGCATGCACCACCACGCCTGGCTAATTCTGTATTTTCAGAGAGACGGGGTTTCTCCATGTTGGTCAGGCTGGTCTTGAACTCCCTATCTCAGGTGATCCTCCTGCCTCAGTCTCCCAAAGTGCTGAGATTACAGGCATAAGCCACCACACCTGGCCAAAGCAATCACTTTTA